TTCTCCCCTCCCAGGTGCCCTCGAGCCGGGCGAGGCGATGCGGTGCGCCCGTGCCGCGTGCTGTGCCGAAGCGGCTCTTTAGATCCTCCCCGGCCCAAGCCTCCCCTGCCATGGATGCCTCCGGGGCTCTTGCTTCGGCTCCCTCCTCCGCGGCTCCCTCGGGCTCCCGCAGCCCCATGTTCCCCCCAGGAGCTGACAGAGAGGAGTGGGGACCGAGGTTCAATTGTGCCCCTTCCACCTCTGCCGCAGCCTCGCAGGCGATGCCAGCGTCTGGCCGGAAGAGGAAGGCCAACTTCTCCAATGACGAGACCGAGACGCTGGTCTGGAATGTGGTCCGGCATTTCAGCGCCCTGTACGGGTCCGAGGCCCTGCGGGCTCACCCCGTGCGGCGGAAGCAGCTCTGGACCCAAATCCAAAGCCGCGTCAACTTCCTGGGCTACACCGAGCGCTCCATCGACGACCTCAAGCACAAGTGGCGCGACCTGCGGCTGGACGTCAAGAAGAAAATCACCTCCAAGAAGCACCTGCCCATGAACCGCGCCGGGGGGCCGCTCCACAAGCCGCGCCTCACGCCCCTGGAGAAGATGGTGGCTTCCACCTTCCTGCAGGCCAGCCACGACTCGGAGCCAGAGATCATCCTGGACCCGGGTGAGCGGTGGCGGTTCTGCGGGCAGAGGGTGGCTGGAGCGCTGGCTGCGCTCCCTGAGCGATGTCCAGCCACGCCGGCGTTCTCAGCTGGCTGTTGTGCGTTGTGGAAGGAGACTCCGGGGTTTGTCTCGGGGTTGCAGCATCCGCCAGAGTCACGGTTCTGTTGTACCCAAGTGCCAGCCACCAGGGCAGAGAACTGTGTGTGCTGGGATTAGAAATCCTCCGTGGAAATAACCTGGGATCAGCGAGTCGTAGAAATCCCAGGGTGGTTTGAGTAGGAAGGGACCTTAAAGCTCATCCTGTTCCACCCTGTGCTATGGGCAGGGACACCTTCCACTATCCCAGTGTGCTCCAAGCCCCATCCAGCCTGGCATTGGACACTTCCAGAGATCCAGGGGCAGCCACAGCTTCTCTGGGAAAACTGTGCCAGATCAACAGGATTGGTAGGAACACCTCAAGCTTTGCAGGAGTGGGTCTTTTTTGTTCTTCTTTCTTCTTTAATTTGATGCTTTCAGTGGCCCCTCTAGTTTCACTGGGGGTGTCATAGGCTCCATCCATGTGGCCCAGACTTGGCTGTCATGTGCCAAGCTCAGGGCTTTAGGCTGAAGGAAGAAATCCTGAGTAATGGCATGAAGTTGTGCCAGGGGAGGGTCAGGCTGGAGATCAGGGAAAGGTTCTTCCCACAGAGGGTGCAGGGCACTGCCCAGGCTCCCCAGGGAATGGTCACAGCTCCAACCCTGCCAGAGCTCCAGGAGCATTTGGACAGCGCTCTCAGGCATGCACAGGGTGGGATTTTGGGGTGTCTGTGCAGGGCCAGGAGCTGGATCAGCAATCCCTGTGTGTTCCTCCCAGCTCAGGTTATTCCCCAACCCCATGATTCTCTGGCACTAGGGGCTGTCAGCCCCCTGGGGGCTCCGGGTGGTGCTGGGGAGGGTGATGCTGAGTGATGGCGCGGGATGACCTTGAGGGAGCATCTGTACCTGGGGGCCACCGTGTCCCCACCGGCTGAGGCCGCATCCTCTGTGTCCCGCAGATCTGTTCTTCCCCGGCGCGTCCAAGCAGCCCTTCATGCACCTGCAGCCCGGCGTGAGCCACCCCAGCATCTACATCGACACCAACGGGCAGCCCTCGGCCCTGCCCGACGTGGAGGGCTCGGCCGTGCCGCGCCTGCCGGGACAGAGCCCCGACCCCGCCGGCGGCTGCGAGTACCGAGGAGAGGGGCAGGGCGGCTCCGGTACGGCGGGAGCCAGCACGGGCTGGGGGCACTGGGAGCACGGCGGGGTGGAGATGGGCTGGGAAGTGTAGGGTCTGGGTGGACACTGGCTGGGAGCAGGGTCTGCATGGAGATCTGCTGGGTCTGAATGGAGATCCACTGGGAGTGGGGTTTGGATGGAGATCCACTGGGAAGTGTGAGATGTCTGCTGGGAAGTGTGAGATCTGGATGGAAATCCTCTGGCAGTGGGGTTCTGGGTGGAGATCTGCTGGGAGTGGACTCAGGATGGAGATCCGCTGGGTCAGGATGGAGATCCGCTGGGATCCACGTGTTGGGGAGCCTGGGGCCAGGGCAGTGCTGTGGCTCACCGGAGGTTTCTCTTCTCTCCCAGCCGAGTCGGGACCGGAGCTGCGCACTCCAGACGCGTCGGCCATCTCCCCGTCCCTGCGAAACGAGTCCCTGGTCTCCTACGCCTCCATGTCGGAGGAGGAGGAACGGGAAGGCCGGGAGGTGGAGAGGGGCCACGGTGGCGCCGCGGGGATGCAGCCGGGGCCCGAGGCCCCCATGTCAGCGGAGGAGGACATGAAACTGTCCCGCCAGGCCATGCTGATCCGCCGGTGCAGCTCCCAGGGCTCCGTCACTTCCCTGCCCGAGGACTCCCTCAACCCCGCGGACGCTCACTCGGACTGGGGGCACGAGGGCGTGTCCGACCTGCCCGCCCTGGGCCGCGGGCTCGACTCGGCGCATCCCGAGGAGCAGGCGGGCGGCCCGGGCCCGGAGATGGGCGCCTTGCCCAGGGTACTGATGGGGCCCACCTGGGAGAAGGCTCCGGCGGAGGAGGAGCCCCCGGCCCGCTCCCCGCTGCACGGCGCCCTGACCGAGGAGTCGCTGCCCTCCTCCGCCTCCCCTCCCGGAGACGCCCCGGCCGCCGCCGGCCCCGGCCGCGGGCTGGGCTGCTCCCGCCTGCGCGAGGACCGCCGCGAGAGCTGGAGGACTAGCATCCATCACCTGCTCGACCTGGAGGAGCAGTGGGACCAGCTGTACCACCAGGAGCTGGCCATGTGGCAGGAGGAACGGGCCACCCAGCGCGAGGAGCGGGCGCGCGACCGGGAGCTGCAGTTCCGCCTGCTCGGCGTCCTCACGGACATCCGCGACGAGCTGCGCTACCTGCGCCAGGAGCGCGCCGGCGCCCGCCAGAGCCCGGCCCCGCCGCCCCCCGAGCCCCGCCGCGACCCCAGCCCGCTCCTCGAGCAGCCCAAAGCCGAGCCCAGCTTCCCCGAGCCGCCGGCCGGGAGCGCCGGCTGGGCAGACACCGCCGTGCCCAGCCGGAGCCCCTTCGGTAACCGCGGCCGGGGCCGGCGCCGCGGGCGGCCGCGCGGCTCCGCTTCCCGACACAGACGCCTCTTCCTCACCAACAGCTAGGGACGGGCGGGAGCCGCTCCGCCACGGACACGGAGTGCCCGCGGCCGCCCCGGCGGGACGGCGTGCGGTGACGCGGGCGGCACCCGGATGGATCCCCGCGGGAAGGGACAGAGGACGCGGGCGGGCGGCGCTGCCGCAGCGGGCTCGGAGCGCTCCGGGCGGGTCCCCGCGGGTCTGAGGCACGGGAGCGCCCCGAGGTGACGCCGCCGTGCCCGCGGGGGACACGAGTGACAGCGCGGCCTGAGGGCGCTAGTCCAGTAGGATTTACTACCTGTCGGGGGGTGGGAGTTAGAAACACTTAGTCGCTGACATGCGAACATTTTATGCAAATCATTTAATGACCTAATTTGCATATAACCATAAAACTTCTGTTTAAAAAAAAAAACGCCTCCAAAAAAACCCAGAAATGATGGTTTTGTGTGTGATCTCTGTGTGGGGGCGGGAGCTGGGCCAGGGGGTTCGTTTGTCCCATGGCTCTGCAGGCCTGGATGGGGACAAGGTCATGGGACAAACGAGCTTCACCTCATTCCTTTGGGGCAGCCCAGCACCGTGGGATCAGGGCTGGGGAATGGGAGCTCTGCAGACCTGGAGAGCAGTGAGGGCATGCACATTGTGGGGGGAACGTGGAGGGTCCCCTGCCCAGGAGTGTTTGGGGTCCCTGGGCAATGTGCAGTGTCCCCAGCGGGCTCAGAGGGTCCCCAGGACTGTGCAGGGCCCAGGCAGCCTGACAGGTTCCAGGAATGTGCAGTGTCCTGAGAGTGTCCAATGTTCCAGCAGTGTCCAGTGTCCCCAGGGAGTGTGGAGGGTCCCTGGCATCACGCAAGGCCCCTTGGGCAGCGTGCAGGGTCCCCAGGGAGTGTCCAAGTTCCCCAGCACTGTCCCCTGGGTCCCCAAGCATTGTGCAGTGTTCCCCGAGTGTGTGCAGGATTCCCAGAAAGTGTCCAAGGTCCCCAGCAGCATTCGGGGTCTTCAGGCAAGGTGCAGTGTCCCCAGCAGTGCTTGGGGTCCCCAGCAGTGTGCAGGGTCCCCAGGGAATGTCTGAGGTCCCCATGACAAGTGTAGTGTCCCCACAGCAGGTGCGGTGTCCCCAGGGCACCCCAGCACTGTCTCCCCGCTCCATCTCCAGCCCACCTCAGGGTGACAGCACTGCTGAGCCGTCTATGCTGTGTCCCCTCTGCTGTCCCCTCTTCCAGCCCCCCAGCATCCAGGGCCCCTTGACTGCCACGTCCTGGTGGGCTGGGACAGGAGGGTGCAGCCCCCAGGGAGGGGACAGTGGGGCAGCAGGAGCTGTGGCAGTTGTGGGTCACCCAGCTCTGGTTGTGGCCTCCCAGGAGGATGGTGACACTCAGCTTGGGGACCCTGGTGTGCCTGAGGAAGGGCCCTGGATTCTGTGGGGAAAGAATTGTGTGAAATAACTCCTATCCCCAAATTAGTGGCAGGAGGGACCTGGGGATGGGGCAAGGACAGGGGACAGGAAGGACCCAGGGGTGGGTCGGTGACAGGAGTGGGGGTCTCCACACAGCCCCACCAGCATGAGGCCACCACAGCCGGTGACACAGGGACCTCCTGAGCCGCCACAACCCATTCCCACTACCCTGTGTCCCACCACGCCATTCCCACTTTCCCATCCTGCTGCTGCTGCCTTCCCAGGGCGCGGGACCCCGGGGACGGGGCGGGAGCGCGGCCACAGAGCACGGGGGACCCGCGGCGGGGGTGCTGAAGGCTCTGCAGCCCAGCACGACTTTATTCCGTATCGCTTCGTCCATACAAAACTACACCCCAAGCACTGTACAGCGGGACGGCGCGGGGGGGGCAGTAAAAATAAGCAGCGGGGGCGAGGGGACAGAGCGGCAGGCGGGGGTGGCGCGGGGGGACACGGCGGGGGACTGGCTGCCCCCCACCCCGTGCGGCGACATCGTCCGTGGGGGGAGCGCAGGGGGTGAAGCGTCCGTCCGTGGCGGGGGACCCGGGGGCTCGTCCCCCCCTCGGGGCTCCCCGCCCGCCCCCCGCCCCGGCCGGGCACCTCGGTTTGGTGGGAAGCCGCGTGGCCGGGGGCTGTCCCCGTGCCGGGGGGTGGCAGTCCGCGGCGGGGTGGCCCCTAGTCCCCGGGGGGCAGGATCCCGGGCGGCGGCAGCGGCGGCGGCCCCGCCTCGGCTCCGTGGACCCGCTGGTGATCCTTGAGCGACTCCTTGTAGCGGAAGCTGCGGCCGCAGGCGGGGCACTGGTACGGGCGCTCCCCGGTGTGGATGCGCTGGTGCTTGAGCAGGTTCTGCTTGCGGATGAAGCTCTTGCCGCACTGGGCGCAGGCGAAGGGGCGCTCCCCGGTGTGCAGCCGCTGGTGGTTCTGCAGGTGTTCCTTGCGGCTGTAGCACTTGCCGCACTCGGAGCACTTGTAGGGCCGCTCGCCGCGATGGATCATCTGGTGCCGCACCAGCCCCGAGTGGCAATTGAAGCTCTTGCCGCACTCGGCGCACGGGTAGGGCCGCTCGGCCGCGTGGCTGCGCTGGTGGATCCGCAGGCTCTTCTTGCCGCTGAAGCTCTTCCCGCACTCGGCGCAGCCGTGCGGCCGCTCCTCGGCGGGGCCCGGCGGCGCCGCGGGGACGCCCCCGGAATCGGCCCCCGGGCCCGGCTCGGGGCCCGGAGCTTTGCCCAGTCTGTGCTGCGCCGGCAGAGCCACCGCCGCCGGCACCGCCGCCTGTCCCTCGGGGGTCCCGAAGCCCGTGCCGGGGAAGAGCAGCTCCCCGGAGCTGCCCGGCAAACCCACCTCCTCGGGGGGCTCGGCGTGGGGGCACCGCTCCTCCGTCTTCACCAGCAGCCCCTCGCTGGCTGCAGGGGACAGAGAGACCGGTCAGTCCTACCGGGGACACCGGGGATGTCCCCAGGTCACAGCTCGTCCCGGGGGGTGCTCCCCTCACCCCCAGCCCCATGGTGGGGATCGCTCACCAGGACCAGGGCCCGGGGGCAGCATCTCCCTCTCGGGCAGCTCCCAGGGCTCCCGGACACAGGGCTCTTCCTCCTGCTTGATCCACGACAAGAAGTCGTGCGCGGTGATCAGGGCGTCCGCGCCTGCAGGGAGGGACAGGGACGGGGACGGGGACAGGGACTCAGCCACGCGGGGCCACACCCTGCTCCGGGGGGCACGGAGGGAACGGCGCCGGTGGGGGCAGGCTCAGCGCCGGGCTCACCTGCACACGGGTCCGGCGGCATGCCCCGCTCCTCCGGGAACTGCTGCTCCCCCACGAAGGCCACCTCCTGCTTGATCCGGGACAGGATGTCGGAGGTGGAGATCAGCGACTCTGTTCACAAGGAGAGACTTGGCCCGGGCCGGGATGGAGCCACACGTGCGACCCACGGCCACCACACCCGGGGTGTGTGACCCCTGGACTCCGGCCTCAGGGGACACCCCCGTCCCACAGCAGTTATGGACACCCAACACCCCCAGGGAGCTGCGGGAACAGGTGGCTGTGGGACAGCCCTTGGTGATGGGTGACCCTGAGATGGCCCATGGGGACAGGCAACCCTGAGACAGACTGTGGGGACAGGCACAACCCCTGGGAACAGATGACTGTGGCAGAGCCCATTGGGGACAGGTGACAATGGCACAGCTGATGGGGCTGGGTGACTGTGACACAGCCCATGGGCCCTGACACAAGGGGGTGGCAGCATAGATCTCCCAGTGATGGATATCCAAGATCTCCAGCACAACAGTCACGGATTTTCTGGGGTCCCTCACTCACAGCTGGAGAACTGGGCCCAGTGGGGATGGGTCTGTTTGGGAGGGAGGAGTGGCATCCCTGGGGGAAGGAGGGTGGGGGAACGTGATGTGGGGACAGTGGGGACAATGGGGACAGTGGGGACAGGTCTTCCCACGGTGTCTCACCCGCGCAGGCGTCCGGCGGCAGCTCCCTCTGCTCCAGCTCGCGCTGCTCAGGGACGCAGGGCCCGTCCCCGCGCTCGCTGCGCGGCTGCGCCTCGCTTCTGGAGAGGGCCCCATCTGCCAGGGACACAGAGCGATGTCACCCCGTGCCTGTCACCCCCTCCCTGTCAGCCAGGCTTCGGGGGACGCGCTGGGGACACACCAGGCTGCCAGGACCTGGTGTCCCTCCTGGCAGAGGAGGTGCCTAAATCCCACAGCACCTCCATGCTGGAGGCAGCTTGGACACTCAGGTCCTGGGTTCTGGGGGACAAGGACCCTCTCCAGCCCCTGGGCAGCACCGTGGCAGCACTGGCATGGCATGGTGTGTCACCCTGTCCCCACACACAGCATGAGCCATGCAGTGTTCCCTCTGGAATGGTCCCAGGACACAGCGAGTGCCACCACAGACCAGCAGCAGGGGACCAGGCCACCCACGTTGGGGACCCACTGAGGAGACACGGCCATCGCTCCGTCCTGCCAGGAGCTGGGGAAAAGGGACATTTACCGAGGGACAGCAAAGCCTCATAGTTCTCCTTCACCAGGTTGTTGTACAGCTCTTTCTGCCACTCCTCCAGGTTCTTCCACTCCTCCGCTGAGAAGTAGACGGCGATGTCAACAAATGTCACCGGCACCTGTGGGGACAAGACCCCCTGGCTCAGCGGCGCCCGCTCCCCAGGGGAATGGAGGGTCCCCCCACTGTCCTGCAGCCCCCAGGGACACTCTACCTTGGGGACCTCGCCCCGGGGGCCGGGGGGCAGCCGCAGCACCCAGAAGTTCCTGTTCTTCAGGAGGTTCTCCACGTTCTCCAGGCGCCGCTGGAGCAGCCCGTACTCCTGGATGAGGGTGCCCAGCACGGCCCACTTGCTCTCCAGCTGGTTCCCAAATTCCATGGCCGTCTTCTCGCAGTCCAGCAGCTTCTTCTCGGCCGTGCCGGAGCGGCCCTCCAGGCTGAGCAGGCGGGTGGCCAGGAGGTCGATCTTCCTCTCCATGGCCTGCACCGTGGCCACCACGGTCCAGAGCGAGGCCTCCGCGGAGTGGAGCTGCGCCTCCCGCACGTGCGCCCGCTCCGGCAGCAGCGGCGGCTGCAGCGGCATCAGGTGAGGGGCCTCCATGTTCCACTCCTGCACCTGGGCCACGGGGAGGGCACGAGTGGGAGGAGACCCACGGTCACCCCCTGGAGCCTCTGCACCCCGTTTCCAGGGCTTTTGGCCACCAGTAGCCCCAGAACTGCCAGGGACCCCTGTGTGCAATGCCCACCAGCCTGAGGGGGCAGTGAGTGGCAGTCCAGGGTGGCCGTGGGGTCAGTGCCCATCCCTGTCCCTATGGAACACCTGCCAGAACTAGGCAGGCCACCGTGGTGACCCCTGCCAACTTGTCACCCCAGTCCCCAATCCCTTGGGAGACATTCCTGCATCTGCCCAGGCTGGAACCCACTTGGGAAGAAGATGGGGCTGGGTGGGCAGGGAGCAAGCAGGGCAAGTGTGGACCAGGGGTGTCCAGGGACACCTTGGGGACATAAAGGGACATGCCAGGACAGAGGTGCCTGGGGCATCCCTGGGCTGAAGCCTGCTCAGAGCATTCCGGGGCACCCTGGGGCATCCCAGGGCATCCCGGGGGCACGGGGATATCCCGGGGCAGAGGTGTCTGGGGACACGCTGGGAACACACGGGCATCCCGGGTCAGCGGGGCATCCCGGGAGCACCGGGGCCACGGCGGGTGGCGTCCCTGGGGACATCCCGGGGCACCCCGGGGCATCCCGAGGGCACGTGGACATGCCGGGTCAGCGGCGCCCGGCGCATCCCGGGCACGCACGGACATCCCGGTGCAGGGGTGCTCAGCCCCGTCCCGGGGCACCGAGGCCACCGCGGCTCCGGTCCCCGGGGGTGGCGGCGGCCCCGCGGGCCGGGGGTGCCGGAGGGTCCCGGCCGGGCCGGAGAGGGAGAGGGAGGCCGGGCGGTGTCCGGGGCCGGGGCCGGGAGCGGGGCCGCTGTCGGTGCCTGCGCACGGGCCGGGCCCCGCCGCCCCGCCGAGCAGCCACGGGCAGCCGGGGAATCGCATCCGCCTCCTCCGGGCTGGGCGGCAGCGGGCGGGGAGCGGCGGCAGCGCGGAGCGCCGAGCACTGCCGCCTACCGGCACCGGGAGCGGCTCCGCCACCGGCGCGGCCCCGGTACCGCCACCGCCTGCCGGGAGCGGCCCCGCTGCCGCCGCCGGGACTGGCACCGGCACCCACACCGGCACCGGCGCGGCTTTGGCACGGGGACTGGCACTGCCGGGCCGCTGGCACCGGCAGTGGCTCCACCACGACAGCGGGTACCGGCACCAGCACCGGCACCGGCACCGGCACCTCCACCGCTGCCACCGACACCGGCATTGGCACCACCTGGGAACTGGTATCGGCTCTGCCACCGGCACCAGCCTCTGCATGACATCAGCACCGATGTTGACACGAGTGGGTGACACTGGCCTGGATCTGGGTGCAGGGAGCACCGATCTGGTGGCACCGAGGGCCAGGAGCCGTGGGGGAAGAGGACACGACCACCAGCACCAGGACCCCCGTCCTGGCCAGAAGACCCTCGTGGGGGGACATTCTGGGTTTGGGAACCACGCCGTGTGCTCCTCCTGACCCTGGAACCTTTGGTTTTAACAGTGCTGGGGCTGGGGCCAGGCCACAGAAAAGCATTACGGTCCCACCTTCCCGGGATTATCCCGGGAAAAGCTCCTCAGTGCCTCGGTGTTCCAGGATCCGTACGGATGAGCCATGACGGGGCTCTCCTGGGCTGGACAGGGAGCGGGGTGACCCCGGCCCCGGAGGAAGGGCAGTGGTACAAGAAGGGTTAACGGGCTGAGCAGCATCCCGGGAGCCCGAGCAGCCATTTCCCTGCAGGATGTCATCGCTCCCTGTCCCCTGCAGCACTGTGCCCCCCAGCTGGGACACCCCGAGCCCCCAGGCCCTGCCCCTCGGCCCCAGGGCTGAGCCATTTTCATGATATGTTTTCTCCAATACCCAATCCAAATATGAGTCCATTTCCAATTTTCCTGTCCCTGTTCCCTGGAGCACAGCCCGACCCCCCGGCTGTCCCCTCCTGGCAGGAGCTGTGCAGAGCCACAAGGTCCCCCCTGACCCCCTTTTCCCCAGGCTGAGCCCCTTCCCAGCTCCCTCAGCCTCTGAGGTTTCTTCATCTCAGCCATGGATTCACCTGCTGCCAGCACAGACATGGTTTGCTTGGTTTATTCCCCAAATTTTCCAAATATCTTTTACCACGCAGGTGATATTCCCCAGGGAATGTCAGTTCAGAGGCTTTGACCCCCCAGGACAGCACCTGCTGGAGATCCCACTCCTCGTGGCAGTGTGGAGTTGAGGCTGGGTGTGCCACAGCAGCTCTGCCCCCTCAGGAGTGAGGGGTGCTGGGGCCTGGAGCATCCCACGGGATCCAGGGCTCAGGAGACAGGGAACCATCCTCTCTGTGGGAATGGAGCTGTGTCCCAGGCCAGGACACATTCCCTCCTGTGAGGAGCAGTGCAGGATGTGCAGGCTGTAAAACCACATCCCAGCCTGGAGCACCCAGCCTGGAGAGGGACTGGGGACAAGGGATGGAGGAACAGGACATGGGGAATGGCTCCCACTGCCGGAGGGCAGGGATGGATGGGACATTGGGAAGGAATTGTTCCCTGGGAGGGTGGGGAGGGGTAGGATGGAATTCCCAGAGCAGCTGTGGCTGCCCCTGGATCCCTGGCAGTGCCCAAGGCCAGGCTGGACAGGGCTTGGAGCAGCCTGGGACAGGGGAAGGTGTCCCTGCCATGGCAGGGGTGGCACTGGAATGATCCTTAACATCCCTTCCAATCCAAACCATTCTGGGATTCTATGAGGAATAAAAGCAAAGTGAACTCCAGGACTTCACTTATGAAGAAGGAAACAATGAGAAGCCAGTGCCAAACGGTTTTTGGGACATTATTCCTGTACCTGGGATGGGCAGGGTGCTTTGGGGCCAAGTGTATTTTCCCAGTCCTGCTCAGAACTCCTGGGAGTGCAGCACAGCACCAGCTGGGTGTTCTCTGCTGCTCCTCAGGGGCTGCTGAGCCTGGAGACTTCATTCCAGCTGGAGTCTCTGACTGAGGACACCCCTCCAACTGGAGGCAACACATTTTTCCTCTTGGCATGCAACTGGAATATTCAAAAATGCTGAAAACCACCAGCACGTGGGGAGAAAACACAAAATCTGCATGTGCTGCCTCCTGTCTCCTCTCCTCCACCCTTCTCCCTGCTGCATTTCCAGTTCCCAGAGGAACATCACCAACACACTGTACACACATTTGGAATATACCCATGGAGTTTTCCCCCCAGAATTTCAGAAACCAAAGCAGCATCTCACCCTACAGGAAAAAAAAAAAGGGTCAATATAAAAACAGAACCCAAAAATAGAGTTAGTTCTGCAGTAATGGGAGAGCAGCTAAAGTGGGGAAATAATGTCTGGAATTGGTTGCTTCAAACATCAGCTTACAATCCCATTCCCAATTGTTCGTTTTTCATCCCTGGAAACTTCCACTGTTTCTCTGTGGTACTCTGGATGCTCTCCAGCACGCCTTGTTTGGTGCACCAGGTTTTCTTAATGCCCCTTTAGGTACAAACAGTGCTGCTCTATCCTACTCCTGCTCCAAGGAGGAGCTGGATGGAGCAGGGTAAGAATGACAGGAATGATGCAGGTCCTGATCAGTGATGGTTAGCAAATTGAATCACAACTCGATTCGAGGAGCTGGATGGAGCAGGGTAAGAATGACAGGAATGATGCAGGTCCTGATCAGTGATGCAGGTCCTGATCAGTGATGGTTAGGGCAGCAGCAAATTGAATCACAACTCGATTCCTGTCTTAGGCTGCAATGCAAGATGTAACCAAATGCATGTACTCCATCACCATGTGTTACAACCGGGTGGGGCAATGTTCTTTATCTCTTCCATGACCCATCCTCCTTCAGGAAGCATCTTCTGTTAATGGGCCATTGATGTCCCTGCATGGCTGATAAAATTCCCTCATCCCATTGGGAGATGCTCTGCCCAGAGGGAGGAGCCAAGCATTCCTACCTGGGTATAATTTGGAGCACCACAGCAGCCTTTTCCCACTGCATCCCCAGAGGAAGACCAGACCCATCTACGCCACCACTGGAAGAGTTTTTCAGAGGAAAACTTTGCCCTTCTGCAGGATCACTGAAGGAGGGCTAAGCCACCATTTAACCAGGCTGCTACCAGCACTCTGCCCCACAGGGTGCCAGGTTGTATCCTGACTCTGTCAGTGCTTTTCTACTACTGCATTTTATTCTTATTTTCCTATTAAATCAGTAGTTCTGACTTGGGATCTCCCGCTGGTCAGCTTTCCAACTGAAGTTTGAAAAGTGGGAAAGCTGCCTTGTCCCCGGAATCTACTCTAACCCACAGAGGACTATAAACCCCCACCTCGGGGCAGAGCAGGATTTTTGACAGCTGACTGCAAAGCTCTACCCTAGGCAGGCTTGTGGCACGCAGCTGACGTGGAGATGGATTCTGAGCATGGGTTTCTCCAGGAAGCAGCCAGGTTTCTCCAGGAACCAGGAGGGTTTCTCCAGGAACAAGGCAGGTTTCTCCAGGAATTAGGTGGGTTTCTTCAGGAAGAAAGTGGGTTTCTCCAGGCAGCAGGCTAGTTTCTCCAGGAAGCAGGTGGGTTTCTTCAGGAAGCAGGACGGTTTCTTCAGGAACCAGACATGTTTTTCCAGGAAGCATGCGGGTTTTTCCAGGAAGCAGGTGAGTTTCTCCAGGAAGCAGGTGGGTTTCTCCAGGAACCAGGAGAGTTTCTTGAGGAATCAGGAGGGTTTCTTGACGAATCAGGAGGGTTTCTCCAGGAAGCAGGTGGGTTTCTCCAGGAACCAGGAGAGTTTCTCCAGGAAGCAGATGGGTTTCTCCAGGAACCAGGAGAGTTTCTTGACGAATCAGGTGAGTTTCTCCAGGAAGCAGGTGGGTTTCTCTGGGAACCAGGAGAGTTTCTCCAGGAACCAGGAGAGTTTCTTGACGAATCAGGTGGGTTTCTCCAGGAAGCAGGTGGGTTTCTCTGGGAACCAGGTTTCTGCAGGAAGCAGGCGGGTTTTTCCCAGGAAGCAGGGTGGTTTCTGTAGGAATCAGGCTGGTTTCTCC